CCTATTGAAAACTATATTGCTATTTAAATGAGTGCTATCTATTTATTTAAGATCACTGACTTCTTTTCGAGCAGAGGATACAAAAAAAATGATCTTAGATGGAATTATTTTGACAATGCGATATAATATATTAAATTATTTGCGCAAAATAGTCCTTCTCAGAACAGATACTTGTTAGTACAGAAATATCCAATAAATATTTTTATATTAGTTAAACTTTACATATATTAATTTTCTTGTAGTATATACTTTGAATATTACCTATTTGAATAAGTGTAATTTATTTATTTAAAACTACTGATTGTATTCGAGCCGCATTTTGTAATTGAATGAAAAATATAGTATTATTTAAATAGTTACTTCATTTGTAGCAGCATATATTGGTTAACGTACATCATTTGATGAGATATTGAAAGCTAGGATTATTACAGAATTATCATAGCAATTTGAATTTTTTGATACCTATTTGCGAGAAAGAGAAACTTACAGGCTTTCCAACGTCAGTCATACAGTGAAAAATCATATCAGAAATTCTATAGGAAAGGAATTAGATGCTTAAATAATTTGATAGTTGTGCACATTTGTTTAAAAAATAATTGTCAATATTTTAAATAGCTATGTCAATGTTTAAATAGTACTAACTTTTACATAGATAGCTGATTCAATTAGCTACTATATTTTCGTTAAAGCGGCGTTTTTTTTATTGTAGTAAGAAGATTGAAATGCATGACATAACAGAGGAAGCTAATATATTAATAGAAAAAGAAAATAAAACTCAACTAAACGATATTTTATCAAGGATAATACGAATTATCCGTAAAACAAAGAAACAGAATATTATGATATTAATTATCAACTTAAATGCATATTACACAAAATAATTAGTGTATCGATTAAGCAATCAAATATTAGTTTATAATTAAGTTGTTTTATTTATTGATTTTCGCTTATACTTTTTTTTTGTTTTGATATTATCATTTGAACATTTTTTCTGTTTTTTTCGTTTATTTATATCAGATTGAGAACGTGTGGTGTGTTGAACATTGGAAGATGTTGGTATAAAATTAATCGTATCTAAATCGATATTCATATAAAATATTTTTTGTTTAATACAAAATGTTAAATCAATAGGGGCATCGTGAAAGATTGTTTTTCTTAATTAAGCACGCATTTTAAGCATCAATAATGGTAAGAGATGTTATAAGAGGTTATATGAAAAAATAGTAGTACGGAGAAAAAAAATTTGAGAAAATTGAACAAATAGTAGAAGATTTGTTTAAAGGTGGATATTTTGTTATTGTAGAATATCGAATAGATGATAAGGATTCCGGTATTATTTATTGATATAAAGGTATTATATCATATCTGTGTGTTTCACTGATAGTGTTATTGTAGAAATCCTTGACACTAAAATGTTATAAAATTACTTACCGTTTAGATCATATGAAGCTTGATTATTTACAGGTGTATTGTAACTTTCAGAAATATTTAATGATGTATTCGTATCGGTTGTATGACTGGTTTGAGATTGAGTAGATGTTATATAAATGCTTTCATTAGAGCTATTAGATACTACTTGATCAACTGTACTATTTATGAACGGTGTTGATAATAAAATATTCGTGATTGGAGTTGTTATGTTTTGTAATTCTACATTTGACACAATATTAGAAATGTTTTTTGAATGTATTGAATTTTTATTATATGGATCAATATCTATGACGAAAATTGTTGATTGTTAATATAATATCATTGGAAAGAACATACCGGTTGATATTTGACTAGTATCGTTTAAGTTTTTATAAGAATGTAATGGTTGTTCTAAAAAGAACTGTTTATATAGAAAACATCATGTAAAACAATTTTACCATTTGATTTTTCGTTCATATGTGTTTCTTGAATACTGGAAGAGATTTCATTAGAATTAGAATATGTAGTCGTATTTAAAAGAGATCTTGACAATTCAACCGATGTCAGTTGCTGTGTATGGTCAAGCGTGTTAATAACAATAGGAATACTATGAATATTTTCACTGATCATATTTTCTAAAGATAGTTTAAAATTTATTATTAACATTAACGCATAAGTAAAGATATTATACTTTGTGCTGGATTAACTATGATAGACATTCTATCCGAATTGTCACAAGTAGATGTGTTTTGTGATTGTAAGGACAATTGATTAAATGAATTAGAGGGTTGATGTTGAATATGATGATCTGAAGTTTGTTCCAGCAATATTGGTACTTAATAGGAAGAAGTTATTTAATATAAAATATTAATTATTTATGTATAAAATTTATTACATATTTTTGGATTACTTATTAATTGAGCATTTGTAATTTGATTATCTATGTCATGACGATTACAATCATTTAATGTATCGTTTGAATTTATTGTTATATTATCTATCATATATTAACGATGAATGTAAATATTTATCGAAGTAATTTAAAAAAATTTTATATATGTAATTGTTGAAAAGACATACTTTCTAGTTGACGTTCAGGATATTTTTCCTTTAATTTTTCATATAAGAACTTGTGTTCAGGTAACATTAAGATTTGTTTTCCAGTAGTTGTTAAAACTTGTTTTTCTTTGATAATGCTGTTGGTTAATAATTGCATATAAGTTGTTAAATTAATATTTATGTCATTCAACAGTTGATCGATTGCATTTCGTTTGAGAGTATCATTTAAAACAAAATCTGATGGATAAGATCGAATAAATACGGTAGCACGTGCTGTAGTAGTTATGAATGCTTTTAAAAAAGATTAAAAAAAAAAGATTTAAATTTCTGTGTATCATGATTAGAATTAAATGACGATCGGAAAAGTACTGAAATACAAATAAGCCAATGCTTACGTCCTTGTCGAATCAATTCATAACTTGAAAGTTCATTGAGAACTGAATTAACTAGATCTGTTGGAAAATGTCGTAATAATCCCATTGGTCCAGTTAGATCTCGTTTAAGAAATATTAATTGTGACATTTGAATAATACGTTGTCGAATGGTGTTGACAGTCGATTGAGCTAAATTTATTATAAAAAATCGTTGGAATTAATGGTACATATAATTTTCATACTTGATGTCATTTGATTGATATTTGTTTCATGATTAGAAACAACAGGATTAACATTGTAAAAAGCAAATAACATTTTAACTAAATGACTACATAACAGTTGACCAGCCAAACGACAACTAGATGAAGTGATTTCAAGAATAATATTTGTTGTTGGATATTTATTTTGAATTATGTTTGTTACATTTCGAATAAAATCAATACTAGTATCATTATAATCAAGTTGATTTTGAAGACGAAGAATCCTACAATAGATAAAATTATAGAAGTGAATGTTCTCCTCTCAGATTATCATTGTTTCGTATTATTTAAAATTAACAATTTTTTTTAAGATAAAAATTAAATGAAGTAATCTTTAATTACTTTAAAATTTCTAGTACTATTTTCATTAATTCGGCAATGGCAGCAAATTTGCAAAGAATTTCTGCCGATTTACCCATTCGAGACCCAAAATTAATGTCATTTGGTTTATCAATTTCGGATAATTCTTGATATTGACGTACTTTATTGTAAAACTTTTTAGTACCAGTTCGACTAAGATGAAATATACGTTTCCCAATTAAATATGAAACAATCAAAATTTGTGTTAAACTAGGAAGATGTTGATCTATTTTATTCATTTTTTCGTTGTTATATTCATCATCACTGATATCTTCGTCTTCATCATTATTATCATCATTCGCATCATCATATTCCAATGTTTGTGAATAATTTAATTTTGCTTCTTTTTTTTTCGGCATTGCATAATGAACGAAACTAAAAATTTTATTTTAATTATTAACATATCTATTATAATACCAATGTCACAATATCGAAAAAATCGTATTATAAAAATTGTATTAGATATTTTATAATGGTTATCTCACTATTCTCAAGAGTAAAACTAACAAAAAGTTTTACTCAATATAAATACTCACCGTTCTGACATACCATCGCTTTGAGATGCTTGAGCATAATAGTTAATTAAACGTGGCCACAAACGGCCTGTTGTTGCACCCATAAAAGATAAATGTGAACTTATATCCAAATGATATGTCATTGTATCTTTAGTTGTTGGTATTGTACCAAAAAATTTGCAGCCCGCAATACGATCACCAGCACTTGCGTCGGATGATGGTGTATAGAAACCTAATTCTAATAATGGTTTTTCTGCTTCATCTGTAATAACAAAAATATTAGATTTTGCAAGTTTAGCTGATAAAGTTGGACAAGTGAAATCATCAAGAATTCCTGCATCTTCTTTCGACAATCCCAATACTTTCATTGCAGCTATCATCGCTTTTTTTATTGGACCTATTATTTTCGATTTTCCACATCCTATAAATATGTTATTAAAGAAAATTATTCATTTCCTTTTATACCTGATGGTCCAATTAGTAGAAGAAAAATATTCAAATTCGTACAATGATTTGTTATATCAACTTCACTATTGCCTGCTAAATGACCAACACATGTAAATAAAGATAATAAAAGACCAGTAGGATCTGTATTATTTGATATTTCAAAATTTTTTAAAAGATCATGTAATAAAGAAAACGAAGAATCGAGAATATTATCAATATTAACATGTATATTACGTGCATCGTTCAAGTTACGTTGCCATATGCAATTGGATAAATAATCTTGATTCTTATTCAATTTTGTTGACATCACTTAAATTTGGAAATAAATTAATGATATGAAATGAAACATAGACTAAGATACAGTGTGAATAGATTGAATTGTTAAAATAAAAAAAGGAGCGAAGTCGTATCAATAATAAAAGTAATTATCTAATTACAAATATATCTCTAAGTATAAGACAATAAGAATTAGTTGTTATAATATAATAATATTTATCATATACGATATAAAATAGAATTATGCTTTCGAGCAGAGAACTAATAAGTTTGAAAAAAAATCTTTTTTTTTTTAAATATTATTCATCAATCATTTTCCATATCAAAGATCTATTATCACAATCAATATCTTTACAACGAATCGTGTATGTCAATTTTTTTGTATCTATTAATATAGCTATTGTATTTCGCTGGTGATGAGTACCTTTGCGAGGACAAAATCGATAGTTTCCTCCTATATTATAAAATACTATATCTGTATTTCGATTACCACGTACACATGATCGAATATAACCTTGATGAAATTGATCTGCTTGAATTAATTTATTTACGAATAATGTAAATTGTTCTATTTCTGGTTGAGTTGAATTAACGATCATTGGTGGTATTGTGAATGATGACATATTTATTTTACTTGTATTTGTGGTAGATGTAGTACCTAATGAGAACATAAAATTAGTATTAATCAGACTATTAAGTTTGTTTAAATCAATAAAATTATTATTAAACATTGATGGTGAAATTATTTGATCTATGGATGTATGTATGAATTGATTGTTTTTTAAATAAATTATTGGTATATCAATCGTTTCAATGTAGGTCAATAATGATTTACGAAGAACATCAAAGTATGAAAGTTTCGCATTATTAAATGGGAAATTAATTGATTGGTGAAGAGGATTTGCTTTACCAATTTTAACGGAATCAAACAATCTGAATTGTTGATTTTTACAGTATACGCTCAAATCAACTGCTAAGGTTAATCGATTGTCTTTATTGAATACTAATAAATGAGCAAATTCTGCAATTGTAACGTAACCTATATATAATTCACATTTAATGCAACATGTACGTAATGTATGTAAATGTGGTGTCAATAATATTAGTAAATCAGATATTGTATATGTTTGTGAAGGTAAATTGATATTAAATGACGAACATTTATGTTGTGTAATTAACCATAGAGAATAATAAATAACACCTTTAATGAATAGTCCAAGTGTAATATTATTTTCGAACAACATAGATGGATTTGCGTGAATGAAATGGTACGAAATTTTTTCGCAAGTTGATCTAGAAATTACTCAGATAGAAATTTTTTTATTTTATTTTATTTACATTCAGAGTGATTTAGATTATTATCAGACATTAAACTAAGATTTTTCAAGTTTTTTTTTCAAATAAAAACGTTTATTGATCAGAACTTTTACTTAAAATAGTATAGTGGAAACAATATCTTACGCTTCTAGAATGAGAAATTGATCCAAGATGTGAGTAATTTGATCGATATTTTGTTGAACATTATGAATTTGAGAATTTAATAAATAGTAGAATATTTTTAAGAGACAAATAGGTCCAGTATGACAATTTTTAATGTCAATATTGTAATCAGTATAATATTCGTAATCGATATATGCTTTTACTTGATTTTCAGGTGTCATTAATTCATAAAGAGAACGCTCAATCACGCTTGAATGTTGATATAAAATAATCAACTCATCTAATGTAAAATAAGAGAATTGACGACTGTTGTTATCTATTTCCATGCTTATACAGATCATATTTTTTAAATTTTGATTTGATAATTGATCTATTAAATCTTTTATTCGGTAACTAACGACTTTGTTTGTAAAAAGACTTTTGATTAATTTTGCGATCAACGCCATTATAGTTTATGATATTAAAAATGAATCTTCAAGTAATATTAAGAAGGCGCCTATTTATTTAGTAATTATTTATTATAAATATAAATATCACATTAGAAAGGTAGAATAAGTTTTCAAGAATCTATATCATAACAAATTTTCTTTACCGAGAATTTATTTTGAGTATCCCGTTTTTATCGTTTTCTCTTATTTTTAAAGCTATAAGATTAAGAAAAAAAGATCATCCCTTACTAACGTATTAATTATCCGTAATAAGTTTATTCAATTTTTTTTATCTAATGATTATAATTATATTTTATCTACTCTATTTATATATTGGAATAAACAAGCAATGTTCTATATAATGCAAAAGAAAAACAACTGTTTATAGAGAAGTTAATTAACATTTGATAGAAGAAGTTAGTTTTCTGCACTATAAATAATGATAAGATCAATAGATGTTGATATTAGTTGGAATATAACAATTATACTATTGATAATTGTGAATTAGCCATTGTAATGAGATTTCGTGCTCCTAGAAAATGGAAAGAACATTAATCGAATGAAGAGTTTATTATCAAAAAGACAATTTAAAAAATAACTAATTTTAAAATGTTAAATGTGATTAATATGGGTTATACATACCATCATACCATGATACTTTAACATTTTTGAATTTTATATTAAGTCCAACCATATTTCGATCAACAGATCGAGCCTGAAAAAAAAATAGATTTAATGATAAAATATAAAATTCTTATATAGTTACCTGACTATTCCATAAAGTCATTGACAAATGAGTTCCATCCTGATCAATATGAATATCTCTTCGACTCCAAATATTACCATTTCGTTCACCAGTTGAAATACCAAAGTCCCGTAGGACTCGTCCTTCTACATCTAAAAAAGAAAAAAAAGAATGCAACCAATGTAATGGAACCAGATGAATCAGTCAAATCCCAATTAGAAATTTCACCTGTTCCATGTGTATTAACAAAAGTTCGTTTGGGATATTCGCAAGTTACGACAGCTCGAATTTTCCATCTATAATAAAAATATTTATTATGAATAAAATAAATAAATCTACGAAATAAAATTCGGTATTCAGTATCAGAAAATAGTAACTAGGAATGATTTATAAAAACTAATAGTTTCAAATGAATCAGCTTAGATCCTACATATAAAAATACGATATGAATTTTTTTATTTTCGAGTATTAATGAATTTATGCAGTTAAAATAATATAGAAAAAACTTACATAAATGTTATATTATTGTTGATATCGACAATATTGATCAGAACACGTTCATTGTCTAAAATAGAACCAATCATACAAAACCAATGAGATTATTTTTTTTTATGTATATTAATTTTTAATTTTTCAAAAACAAAATTATAGAGCTATGAAATATATTAAATTAATTCATGGTCCATTAGATAGATGATTAGCATTTGTATATGATAACACTAATTACATTCTTTTATCTATTTTCAATTGACTTAGTATGTTTGTAGTCATATGTTTCGAAAAATTTAGTAATATTTTAATATCATTAAAAAAGACTGACTTGTTGATGTATCTTGATGATTGTTATTTATATTTTGTGTAATATATTCAGTAACCATATTTCTTGATAAAACGATATTGTTGGAGCACATTTCAGTATCTAGAAAAAAAATTCAATAATGAAATTGATTGTTTCTATGGTTTGTATTATTCATTATAGATTACTCGATTGTAAATTTTCATCAGTTTCATTTTTATTTTGTTCAATTGATTTTGGTATAGTATCTAATGATACATTAGTATTTCTACAACTAAGTAAATAAATATTCATATTAATTTCAACGTTTTATTTACGTTTCGTTGTCAATATTATCACAAATTTCAACAGATGTACTAGAACTTGATACATAAGATGCCATTCTTTTTAATCTAAAATAAAACAGATACGTTTACATCAGATCATCTTTTTTTTTAAGTCGTCATTGAACCTATGTTGAAGAGAAAAACAAATTAATTAATGAAATGGCTCCAAAAGAAACATTCTTTCTATTTCTAATTAAGTGTAAATGAAATAAAATATGTACATGACTTTCTCATATAAGAAAACCATTTTCTTTATCATTAATAAGATTTAAAGAAAAAAGAAAAGTCTCTGGAATAAAAGTCACATCTTTTACAAATTAATCTGCCGTTTTACTATCTGTTAAAATATCTAAATTTCCATCGATTTTTATTCGGATAAAATTGAATTAAAGAATAATAATTATTACGCATGCTATGAAAATGATGATAATAATCATCTATGTAAAATACATTTATTATCGACTCGTTTCATATCAATTACTGTTTGATTACTAAACTTAATGAATCTTTTTTTAGAATAAGAATTTTCAACTGAAACAATTAATCCGATTATATTATATTTTTATTTAAATACATGAACATAAAAATGAAACAATTGAAAAGAAATTAAAAGTTTCATATATTGAATGATCTAAACAAGAAGAATAAAATATTCTAATTGTTTTGTGTTTATTAAAATATATCTATCAATAATCTTATAACAAATAAGAAAATCAAATTATATATCATAATACTCTCGAGCAGCAGGAATGCTGATAAGTAAAAGTTTTTAGTTTGTATGATATGAGAACGTGGAGAATTATTTTTTTTGTAAATTTTTAATAGAATTAATTCAGAATTTTTTTATATAAGTAATAGTATGTTTTATGCCGTATAATCTATATTCGTTCTTTATAAAGCTTGGATCGATCTGATGCACTAAAATATGGTTATTTTATTAACTATGAACTGATTTAGGTTTATAAATATCAAATATTGATATTTATTTTAGATTTTCATTGTTTTTTTGTTGCATACATCTGTTATATAAATAAGATTTGTAATATCTCAGATTTTAATTTTTTTTAAGCATAGATAACATAGATTCAAATAGTTTGTTTTTGTTGTTCAAGACACATATATAAAAAATATGTTAAGTAATGTAGTCGATTTATTTTCTTTTTATTATTTGCTTCTATACATATGATATGTAAAAGAACTTATGAGAAGACTCTGTTTTATTTAAATAATAAGAATTATTATTTTCTCGTTTGAAAGACTTTATCGAATATTATTAATATAAATATTTAGATTAATCGTGAATAAAAAAACTCTTTAGATGTAGTTTTGACATAAAGTACATTTGCCACGATGGCATTTACTACAACATTTTATAGATTGTTTCTTACATGGACATCGATTTGTGTCACATGTACCGACACATTTGCATACTTGATTTGATTTATAATGTGTTAATTTTTGACAAGCTTGAATAAAGGTAATAGATGATAACGTTTTAATGTCTAATTGTCGTAATTCTGCTGATACAGTTTGAGATAAGTCAGTAAAATCAGAAGATGAAAATGAGTCAGAAATAACTCCATATAAAGTAGCTACTTTATAGGTCGTATTTAAAGATTCTTCACTTGCAAGTACTTGGATTACTCTACATGGCAAAATAGATGGTGCCATATTTGATCGATCTACATTGGCAATTTTTAAACCAACTATATCATTTATTTGATATATTTTTTGTTTTTTTAATGCACGATTATAATTATTTAATTGACGTTCTAAATTATAAATATAATCTTTGTTTTATCTAACATATTGCAGACAAAAAATATTTAGAAATCTGCACACGTATATGATTATATTCAATTAAAAAAAAAAAAAAGAACTGCACCTGCTGTTTGAAGATAGCATATCTCAGCTTCTTCACGAATTCGTTTATGTGGTGTATTTTGACAAGATTTACTATGAAATTAGAATAAGATAGAAATTTAAATTCATAGGATTAATTACTCTGCACATTCAGTATCAGATTCATTTGATAATAAATTTGAAATTGGGGAAGAAATATCAATACACGTCGAATTTTTTGTAGCTAACTAAAAAAGACAAGATCAAAAAAAGCTAATATTTATTCTACGAACTGGTTCATTAAATAAATTAAATTCATTAATAATTGATTCATCAATTTCTTCTTCATTAATAATAATAGAATTTTTTGATTGTTTTTGTATTTCTTCCCAGAAATCATGATCAATACGTAGAGTTTGACCAAAAACCATTTCGTATGGACTTTTTTTTGTACTTTGTGAAATAGAATTATTAATAGCTAGCATAACTGGTCCTTAATATTCATGGAAAAATTAGTAATTATTTATTAGTGAGATCAAATCTATATTAATATCTGATACCTAAAGCATCAGGCCAATTAGATGTTTTATTTTTTTCTAACCATTTTCCGATCATATGTTGAACTACTGCATTGGATCGTTCCACGAGACCCTGACTTTGAGGGTGTCGTGGACGTCCATTAATGATTATTAAATCGGGCCAATTTAATTTTAGATCTAAAATAATTTTTGCGCTAACAAAAAAAAAAAGAATCTATGATTTTTTTAACTTAAACTAAATATTACACAAATTCTTTGCCGTTGTCACTTTGTAAAATTTTTGGTGGTCCGAATGTGTAAAAGATGTTACGTAAATTATTAGCTACATTAATAGCTTCTTTAGATGGTAAAGCATATAGCCAACTGAATTTGGTAAAATGATCTTTAGCGTGCATAATAAAATTATAGTTGTTATATGACACACTTCGCATATCGATTAGGTCTACTTGAAGACGTGTTAAAAATCCTAATGAAACAATAGGTTTTCCGCTAATCGGTGTTGGAAATGAGCGACGTGTCTGACATGTATCACACATGTTGATGTAAATACATATGGCTTGATGAGGAATACCAGCATAAAGACGTTTAATCTATATAGAATTATGATAGAAATTGATAACAAAAATATTACTAACTTCTGCCCAAGTTTTGTCTCTTCCAGAGTGACCGACAGCAACATGACAATCAACAACTCTATAATATATTTGTTCATGTGTAACTAGTGGCAAATTATGTTTTTTAACATAAACAAAATCTGTTGAACCTATTTTAACAAGTCGAAATGTTTGTTTAGCCCAAAATTTGAATTTTGCTGATACATTATTATTTTCTTCTTTAAGTACACTTAAAATATCTAAACACATATCATTTTTGATTGTATATTTATTTCGCTTTTTTATATCCAGACTATCGATATATGTTTGCAATTTAGAATAAAAAATATCCATTTCATTATTATCATTCATCGTTAAAATAAATAAATAAAATTTATAAAACAAAGAACCTCCATAATTTATATTTAATTGCTCTCGGTGTCATAGCGACAAACATGAATAATTAAAATTTAAATGAATCAAAAAATAATTATAAAAAATGACATATTAATAAATTTTATTAAATTATTAAATTATAAAGTAAGAAAAATAAATATTTATATGATCACATGAGATAATTACCATAATCAACCAATTATTTTATTTTATCTTGCTATCAAAATATCAATTGAGCAAGACTCATTAATTACTTTATGACCCATACAAAAGATGAGAAAATGCATTCAGATGAATGAAAAATTATGAGTAAAATTTAGTCATCAAAATAAAAAAGAAGGATACATCTCATTTGTGAACATAATTATAATTTACGCTTTATTTAGATCAAGTTATTTGAGTTTGAATATTTGAAAAGTCGATAAACTTATAGCTTTTTTTCAAAAATGAGTTGAAATTTTAAAAATAATTATCAATAAAAATTTTAATATTTTCAAATATGTAAATAAAGTTTACGTGTTTTATTACAATATGTCTAATATGTAGATGATCAGGCACGTCCGCAGAAATTTTTTTTGGGGGGGGATTGACGACTTTGCAGAAAAGTTCACCACTAAAAAACGCTATTTCAAACTTTTGAAAAATTTTCGCCCTGCACCCCCCTCCAGGTATTTTAATTGGGGGGGGGGGGGATCGATCCCCCCAATCCCCCCCCTGCGGACGTCCCTGTAGATGATATGGGATATTTCATTACAATTGTTTTTTTTTAAATGACTATAGTTATTTTAATTTCTAGACAATTCCTATTTTATAGTAAAATAATATAATGCATGATAAAAAAGAAAATCTTAGTTTAAATTACAAATTAATTTTTTTAATTTCACTGTACAAAAATATAAATTCAAGTTTTGAGAGTGGTGCTATAGATTTGTGGATTATTTGGTAATTTATCACCTAAGTTTTTTTTGTAACTGAGCTTTTCTCATATTCTTTTGAAACGACTGTTTAATGATTGATAAGCGAGAAAACAGATGACTATATGATAAATCAACATCAATCTTTCTAAATAAATTAGCAAAAATGTGTAATGATCCTATAGTATTAGATTTTTTATATTCTGTTGTTACCTTCTCTCTTGTTGTATTAAATGAATTCAATAGCATTTGATCTATATTGATTTTTTATATCAAGCTGTAGTTATGAATCTATTTGATATCATTATATTTTGATTTACTCAATTTTATTCTTTAATAAGGAATTGGTAAGTAATAAAAAAATATGTAAAGATTTTTAGATCGTATATTCTATAATATTGTACGCACGGTAATTTCTTCTTTTATAAAATGCTGACATTTTTTTTAATAGTAATAATTGTCTAATTTATAAAATACATACATTCATATTTATAGGCTGATTTTAAACGTAATTTGAAGAATATTCTATAATTTTATGAGTCGATTTCAACTAAAATTTCTAATTTAATATTTTTACACTAAGACTAATTTTAATTAGTCTTATTTTCTTACGTAGTAACGATATACCTTTAACCCGAGCAAGGGGGTCAAAAAAAAAATTTTTTCATTATATTATCATACAAAAAAGAAAAGAAATATATTTTATATTTTACTGTTATACAAAGATATGAAGGAATGAGATTGTTGTATTGATCTATTTTGATATGTGAATAACATTAAATTCCATATTCAGTGACGTTTATCACACTATATTTTGTACTTCTGTAAAATGCTGATGTTATTTTTTATTGAAATTATTATGAGACATACGAAACATGTGTATGCATATTAATATACTGGTCTTGAACGTAATCTGAACATTAATATATAATATTCTCAGTTACTTTCAACTAGAATTTTAAATCTAAAGATTTTTTTACATAGAATAACGGAATGAATTTTATTTTCTTATTTCAGTAATCATAAAGCTTTGACCCGAGCAAGGGGGCAAAAAAAAAAGATTTTTTATTTTATAGTTATATAAATAATATTAAGATATTTATTTCGATATAGAAGAATAATTAAATAATTACGTCGAAGCGCTAAAAATAAATCTTATCATACTGTACTTCAGCAAACTCTACAAACTATAGTTAGTCGAACTAAAAGCTGGAATTGTTATTGAAAATTCATCTTAATAAATTTAAAATATTTTGAAAAGAAAATTTAAAATTTTTACTTGTTAATGTAAAAGTCAATCATAGCATTAAGTTGAAAGTTTTAATTATTTTTTACATAAAATAAAACAATTTAAAATATCGATTCTCTCCTTTTTTTTTGTTTTATCTTTATTTTATAGAAACAATTTCATGTTATTTATATAAATCTAATTTAATTATAAGATTTGAATTCTTTTTTTTTCGTTTCTCTTTTTTCTCTTTTCTCTCTCTCTTATCGATATTTAATTAAATCTACTATTCCAATCTCAACTGAATTCTCATGTCAACTGTGACATATATATTGGTTGTGACAACATACGAATCGAAAGAAACTGGACAATTTTCGATCGATGTGTTGGGTAAAAACAAAATTATTCTCGAACGTCTCAGTAAGTATATAGATACTTGCGCTATATATTAAATAACTCATATAAAATACAAAGAATGTCTTTTAATTAGAGAATAGACTGAACTCATGTTATCAAATATTAAGGTATTATTCAGCAGGATAGCTACTCGTATATTGTGCTATCATTATCTTAGTAGATGAATACTGTTCAGTTTCTCCAGATACTAGATGAAAAATGCTTTATAAAAATTTAAGAGTCAGTTACTTAAAATCTAAAAAATATCTTGCAGTAACTTAGTACTTTTAGATTTTTATAGCATATTGGTTGTAGAATACTCACTCGGAGGATGTGGGTTTGCTACATTCACTAATTTTTATTTGTAAAATTAAATTTTTATAGAAAATCTCAAAGATTTCGCTTTTGTTGATGTTAGATAATAGTATCAAAATTCTATGAATTATTTGACTTTTATTTATTAAACAGGTACTCCAATAAATATTCAATTAATATATTCATCAAAATTAATTGATGATAGTCCAACATATTACCGCGATTATCAAGTACCAGAATGCCATTATGAAACTTCACAAATTCATGTCAATACAACGGGTTCGTATGTTCTTTGGAGTGAAAATAATATTAATGCATATGGATATATCTACAAAAATGATTTCAATCCTCTAAACCCATCTAAAAATTTACTCCTATCACATGGTGGTGAATGTAATGATGGAAAATTCAAACTAATCATCGATCTCAAAATCAACACTCGCTACATATTAGTTGTGACAACACGCGATCCTAAGACAATTGGCAACTTTTTTGTTTATATCTCTGGACCAAACAATGTCAGTCTTAGTCGTTTCAGTAAGTATTTATACGATCCTTTTCATGACACTATAGGTTTTGACAAAAGATCTATCGAGTTATTGTATTAAATAGTTAACAGAATCTTTGAGTCTATTGATGTGTTAGAAAAGACATCTGTTTAACGTGAACTATAAATAGATTTTCCACATTTTGGATGTTCATACTTACAGCCTTTTGAATCTTTATTAATATGCAGTTTTTGAAGATTCAACATCCTGTAAAATTTGTTATTTATATGTGAAAAATGCACATATTTCAATCTACTGGAAAATCTTTTTATTTGAGAAAACAAGTAAATTGCCATAACTGAATATTTTCATTATTAAAACGACTGAATTTCTTCATTATTCTCTTCTCAAAATATATTCAATATTTTAGGTCCAGAACTAAGTAATTGTGCGATTCGTGATCAATATAACTTGTACATGAAAGGCATTGCTTTGACTCTGGATGATATTTTATGTAATGAACTTCAACCGAATATAGTGTTGAATAATCAATCATTTTCGATAAAATTAAGTGTGGGTTTAACAATAATTATGTTCGTTGCAGGATTAATTAGTGGTATTCTTTCTTTTGTTACATTTCAAAATAAAGATGCTCAACAAGTTGGATGTGGAATATATCTCTTGGCATCGTCGATTGTTTCTCTTCTGACAATTATTATGTTCATAATCAAATTTTGGTTTGTTGTTCTTACTCGTATTAACGTATCTACTAGTCTGTCTGTTCTTCGTGGAGGTTGTGCATCTATCGAACTGATTCTAAAACTTTTTCTCTACTTAGATGGTTGGCTAAATGCTTGTGTAGCAATTGAACGAGCAGTATATATTTTTAAAGGAGTAAAATTTGATAAGAAAAAAAGTAAATCTATTGCTCGACGAACAATTCTTATTTTACCATTCTTTATTTTCTGTACTCTTATTCATGAGCTCGTCCTTCGCAGATTGTTCGAATATAAAACAGCACGAGATACGATAGATACGAGTAAGACAAATGAAGCAATAATCAAGCGATATGTATCATGCATCACTCGTTATTCTCCTTCTGTTCAAGTTTACAACATAGCCGTTCTATTTTTTCATCTTGTTGGTCCATTTATTATTAATCTTTTTTCAGCATTGTTCATCATCTTTGGAGGTGCTCGACAACGATCAGTGGTACAAAATAACCAAAGTTTTAAAGAACATATTCAAGAGCAATTCACTGAACATAAACAATTGATTATTAGTCCAATAGTTTTACTCATTTTATCAATACCTCGTCTGATCATTTCATTACTTCCTGATTATATGGAAACATCTGAAAACATGTGGTTGTATCTTGGATCATATTTTATTTCTTTTAGTCCTTCGATGCTGATCTTTCTTATCTTTGTATTTCCGTCGGAATTGTATATGAAAGCGTTTAAACAATCGTTCAATCGTATTCGACGGCGTACTCCTACGAAATCAGCTCGTTCAGGTTGAATGACTTACTCTCGAACATACTATGAACTTCAGTAAAATGACTATTATACGAAATACAAAAGATATTATTTATTTGTTTGCTTCTCGTCATGATTATATGCTCGCTTTCCAACTGTTAGAGATTATCGAGTGTTATGGTCTTTCATCTATTCTCTTGAGACATTATGATATGATCAAATATTATTTCTGCTTGATATATATATACGTGCTTTGATGTGTGCAGAGATTTGCTTTTCTTGTTTCTTTTCATTCGTTTCAATTTAAATAAATAGATTATATCTTTATATTGAGATTCATGAAAAAATATTGTGAAATAGTTGACGTGTCTATTAGACTGTTTGACAAGTGATAAAAGACTGTAAACGTTCAGGTATATAGAAAGAAAGGATTGAGTATGTCTTTTATGAAATTTAAATGAGTCTCTTGATCTGACTCTAAAGAAATATTTTGATTTTATAGAAGATCTCATGAAATGATATAACATATCTGCATATAAATGTTTTCAGTTACTCTAGAGAAGAGTTGTGCAATGCATTACTCTGTTCCATCCTATGAGTACATGACAAACACGACGGACGTACTATTTCTTTCAGGGATCAAAATCGGTATTAATTTTCTTTTTTTTTCTTTCCTTCTGTGTTTTTATCACATTGTGTGCTTGCGTGTGTTTGAAAACATTTTTTTTTCTTTTTTTATTTCTACAGTATGCTTGTCGCACTACTGAGTTGTATGTATAAAAAGACGCATTCTTTTCTGTATTTTCGATACCTTCATTTGCTTCACACAAATCAAGCAGACTAGACTAGTGTGTACTCAGATAAGTAACGAAAAAAATTATATTTTTACGTATAAAAAGTGCACATTTTAACTCATTAAAACAAATTTTTTGATAAGAAAATATGAGTCCCACAACGTTACATTTACAAATTTGTTTTTTCTTCGTAATAAAAGTGTCTTTTTGACGCAAAAAATTTACGCTTTTTACATGATCATCTAACGTCGAGAATGATGTTCTTATCTAAGACTAGAGTAAATAGATTAGAATGAGTCGGATTAAGACCCTAAAGATTATCATAGAAAAATCTTATTTTCATTATCTGAGAATAAAACTTCTTAGTTTTTTTGACTACTTGAAATGTTTTGAATTGGGATATTTTATAAATCGTAATTTTCAAACTTTCTTTCTCTTTATATTTAGATTTATCCAAATTAAAATATGCAACCGGCACCACAACCTCCAAGTGCTTTAGGAAATTATCGTCTTTTATCACCAACTGCAGCTGTTCGTGTATCACCACTATGTCTTGGCGCTATGTCACTTGGTGATGCATGGGAATTTATGGGTACACAAACAAAAGAAAATTCATTTAAAATTCTTGATGCATTTTTTGATGCTGGTGGAAACTTCATTGATACTGCTAATAATTATCAAAATGAACAAAGTGAAACGATATTGGGAGAATGGATGACTAAACGACAGAATCGTAGTCAAATGGTAATTGCAACTAAATTTACTATGTCATATCGATCGGATTGGACAAAAGAACCAATTCATGTGAATTTTGCTGGAAATTCAGCAAAATCGATACATGAAAGTGTAGCTGCTTCTCTCAAAAAACTTCAAACTGATTATATCGATCTTCTCTATATACACTGGTAATAATTTTATTTCACATTCTTAGTATATGTGTGATAAAATATCGATTTCTTTTCTTTCTAGGTGGGATTCTACGTGTTCGATTCCTGAATTAATGCAATCTCTCGACCATCTGGTCAAAGCAGGCAAAGTACTTTATTTAGGAGCAAGTGATACACCTGCATGGATTGTTTCACAAGCAAATCAATATGCAAGAGATTATGGACTTCGTCAGTTTTCGGTTTATCAAGGATTGTACAGTTGTGCTAAACGGGATTGCGAAAGAGACATTCTTCCAATGCTTCGACATGAAGGAATGGCCTTTGCACCTTGGGGAGCACTGGGAGGAGGAAAATTTAAAACAAAAGAGCAAGTAGAAGCAATGGAGAAAGAAGGTGATAAGGGACGAACATTTGGAGGTATAATAAAAGGTAAATAATATTTTCTTGTGAATCTAATTTTGCTGAAAAGAGAAGCTTCGTTAAGTATATCAACCGGAAGAAATTGAAATAGATTTTTCTGAATAATAAAATTGACTTTATTAAATGAGTTTAGGTCCAACCGAAGTTGAACAAGCAGTTACTGGTGTGCTGGAAAAAATTGGAAAAGCCAAAAATATTTCGCTTACACAAATTGCATTGGCTTATACAATGGCAAAGCAACCATACATTTTTCCCATTGTTGGTGTTCGAAAAATTGAACACTTACAAGACAATATAGATGCTTTGAAAGTGCGTTTGAGCAAAGAAGAAATTAAAGAAATTGAAGAAGCATATAAATTCGACATTGGCTTTCCTCATGATATGATTGCTCAAAATCCGAGTGAAAACTGGGGTTTGAAATTGGCTGGGCACTGTGATTGGGTGGAACAGGAAAAGAGTTTGAACGCCAGTTAAACAAAGACAATCGTGACATTTTAATTTCATATAATTTTCATAAATAAAGTAGTGTTGACAGTTTTATATATCTTTATCTAGAATTATATTATTATTAAATATATTATTCAGTGGAAATTTATAGAAGGATCTTTTCGACTCTTGTCGTTCTTAGCGAGTAGTATGCCATGTGTTTAAACAGGTAGTGAAAAGAATTAAAAAATCAACATACATATCATTCAATGCTTCATGTGAAACATAAAGAAAAGAGAATTTGCACTATCACGAGAAAATCTGTGAAACATTATACATATACACACTTAGAATAACTGATAAAATGATTTTTATCTATTCACATATTACCAGTCCAGCTCGTCTATCGAATTCTGCAATCTTGATAAATCAATAATTCTTCTCTTATGTTGTGATGTATGCGCAAGACTCAACGACACCACTGACATAGGGTGTCGGTACTAATCGTTTATTCTTCAGATCACGGCTAAATGACGTCTTGTAGGGAATACTTTCCTAAATGCTGCTTTTTTAACAACGCGATATACACACAAAATTTTCTCTCAATGTCAAGTAAAGATGTGTGCGTTACCATTTGCTATCAACACACCTACTTTTATTCTATTTCTATGCATCTATTATCATACAGAGGTCTTATCTTAATGGTGAATTTTGATCGTTTTTTGCTGTTAACAATGTAGAACAGAATAAAATTATCTATCCGTTTACACAACAACTAAAATACATCGATGTCCTTGCTTTTTTAGCTGTTTGTGCAAGATGCTCTACTTTTTATTAATGCATTTATCACAATCGCGCAATATGAGAAAGAAGACCTTGGAAATGAAGATACATTTATATATGGGTAATAATAAAAAAAGAAGAGAAAAGTTGCTCGATGTTAACCAACTGTGACGATTATCATAATTTCATAATTGATCTAACAATTTTTTAAAATAAAATCTTCTAGTAATGCTTTGATTCAATTCAACAAACAATAGATTTAAAGAAAAATAACAACAATAATAATGCTACGGGTAACCTGCGCTTATCAATTACGTTTAAATAAAAAAAGAAGAGAGATCGTTATCATTGCCTTTATAAAGACAGTCGCATCTACAAGTCCTACATTTGTTATTTAGTTAGATATCGACTACTATTTAAAGAATTTATATTATAATCAAGAAAAATATGAAATCTGCATTCATTCTTTTGCTTATTTTTGGTAAGACAATTAAAAATGAATGAACAACCATTTTTTTTCTCAATTATGTCTAAATAGGATGCATCGGCACAATCAACACGTACGAATGCTATAATTGTAGGGATAGTGTGTGTGATGATCCATTAAATACTGATAGGACGCCTAAAGTGACCGCTCCTACAGGCGCTGTATGCAAAGTATGTATTCTTGAAAACATGTCTTGTTGTCGTATCAATCTCATACACACTTGCCTTTTTTATTTTTCAGAAAGAGAAGACAGAGACAAAGGGTGGCAGTACAGTAACCCGTAGTGTTGAGGCGAATCTTGTTCAATGTATTGGAGGCACAAATGGATGCGGAAAGTATGAACAACACGGTTATACGCATCATGTTTGCTGTTGTACGTCGGATTCGTGCAACGGTGTGTCGGCGGTAAAACAACAACCTCTCGTTATCTTCGCCACAATTGCTACACTCTTCATGTTCGCGTACCAGTGGTTTTAACGTATAAACATTCCTAATCATCTAAACAAAATTTTTTCAATAATATTTCCTCTAGGTCCCGATCGACTTTCAAAAATAATTCCTTTTATAATAAAATAAAGCTTGTTATTACATATTATATCAATCACATACTAGTTTAGAATTCTCTAATAAAGCTTTCTTTTTACACAAGAATTTCAGTTAATTTTGCTTAATAATATTAATTATTTTTATGTGAGGGTGGGTGTAAAAGGAGAAAAGATTCACACTTTCAAGATAGTAAGACAAATTTATTTTAGTCTTGAAGAAAAGAAAGCAAAGAATTAATAGATATAACACGTAGTAAGAGCTATCAGTATGAGAGGAGAGAAATTGGAAAAGCGATCATACAATGAAGAAAAACAATTCTGTATCTACTGATAAAAGTACACTTAAAATCACAGTATTTTGCACTTATTTTGAGTTCAGTTAGAGCTATCGGAAATCTGATTCCATCAATGGATAGAGCCCGTCGAGTTGCACTTGGAACTCATCTAGAACGCATCACAGACGAATCGCCGATGGAAATACTCGAATCGGCTGCTTACTTCACTTACGTTTAGAAATTCCACTTCAATTCATAAATAATCATACAAAATTTATTAATCTTCTATTTTTTGAACATCTCAAATGAGATTTATTTTATCGTAAAAATTTCTTTGCCTACTTTTTTTACCTATTGAAATTATTTCTCTATTTTAGAAAAGTAGAAAACATTAAACTAACAGCAAGTATTAACGAATATAAAATT